CTCCCCAGAAAATGAAGATAGAGAAAAATGTTTCGAACAAAAGATGTTTGTTATTTTATGATGCATCTATTTGGTAATGAAATATTTGTCTCTGTCACCAATGGTTAATGAGATAATTACGGTTGAATGTGAAACGGACGACTCATTTGACCCGCCACCGTGCACATGAACGCGAATATCCCATTAACTACTGGAGATAGAGTGAAGAGTCTCATAACTTAATTGATGCATTTTTTAATAATAAATTCTTTTGATTTGAACTATTTTGCCCTATCTTTGACCGATTCGCTATAATCCGCCCTGAAGCGCGCTTCCATTGCGCCAAAATGGTCGCGCACCGTCTGAGTTACTCCCATGCACAATAACTCTTCAACGATAAGAGTTAGGGAACCAAGTCATATGACAAAAAATGTTCCTTTTAATGTGAGGAACATTCTTTGTTTGAAACATTTTTTTCAATCTCAAACCGTTTTTGCGACAGAGCGTTTTAAACAATTAAATTGTTATAAACAAATAGGCGGCCCGTGATTTCGCAAAAACGGTTATCATATTCGTAATCTGCGACCCCGAAAACATCAAGTTCAACCATAAAACGCAATGGGGAAAACAAAAAATGTCAATGGACACAGAAATGGCTCTGGCGTATGGACTACTAGCCCAAAAATACTACTAGGGCGCAACACACGACGGGCCCACCCAGCCTAACAGGTAACATGAACGCACACCTGGACATCATCCTCGTATTGGTAATCCGTGAAACTCAACCGCGGGAGACTCCATCACTCCGGAAAGACGTCAGAGACCACCTGACACCGGAGATAGACCACAGAGAGAATAAATGGCGCCAGAGACCAGCACGTGGCCGGCGAATTATGCAAATAAGGCCGGGATTGGCTAATTCCCTGAATCCAGGACCAATGTCAAGGTCCGAGAGAAAATGGAGCGTGAGGGCAGGAGATTGAGAGGGCAATGGTCATTTCCGCCTCTCTTCACTTCCATCTCTACTGTCAATCGTTTTGCATCGCTTTAGGTTTTCTAATTTTCGTATCTATTGTGTGGGTCCAATTAAGAAGCTTTTCATGCGAACTCGACAACGGAGGTGGGAACAAGGTTCTCCGGACCTTATCCGGAGGTTTTTGAGGCGACTGAAAGGCTATTTCCCGGCAATAATTCAGGCGACTATCACAGGCGAACATCCAGGTGATCCTCACGGCGAATATTCTCTGCGAACACGAGGCGAAGAACGGCGTCAGGGCGTGTATTTGAGTGAGTGTGCAGATTTCTCATAATTGTTTACCGGTGCGACTGTAATTATCCGCGAGTATAAGAGCATTTTTGGGGTTTATCCTGGGCTCCTGTCAGCTTCACTGGCGGGAGAATTATCCTCACAAACGGAGACTATCGACTCCATCTTGATAGTACCACGTGCCGTCGAGTCAGTGTAATACCGGAGAAAATAGTATTAATTTATTCCGAGCATTGTGAGCGTCGAAGCTATCAATTTTAGGGGTGTCATTTAATTAGTATTATTTTTAGGAAGATCTGGCGATCTTGCTAGTCGGGGAAAATTATCATTTTATATGATACGTGCGTGTAACCGCATGGGTTTCAGTTGACTATAGTCAACTGAAAACCGAACTAACGCATGACTCGCATGCGCATCACCTATTAAAAGAGAATAACAAAGAAGGAAATCTAACCTGCGAATAGTGAATACATGGAATGACTGAAAAATGAAAAGGTGATTTTCGAAGCAGATAAAATGAGCCAAAATCGTATAATTCCTGATAGTGATGAAGAGTTAGGCAGTGAGGAGAATTTATTTACTGATGAGGAGGAGTTTATTGGTGATGTGACATTTGAAGAAAATGGAAATAAAATATTCTCCGATTTTTCAATTGCGTTTTGTATCATATTTTTTTATAATTATAACTTTCTTTTTTTTGCGAATTCTTAATGATTTTTAAAAATTGTATTTTGTAATTATTATAATTAATTTTTTGCAATTAAAAATACTTTACAAGTTTTTTTAACTACATATTTAATGAATATAATTAATTTTTTCTTCAGAAGTTCCGCATAATTTTTAAATCACACTTTTTTATAATTATTTTTTAGAATAAATGTGATCTTTTTTACTCTTGAAAAAAAATAAAAACTTTTCAATTCAAAATTGGATCATCAGCAATAAATACTTTTATCGTTCCAATGCTCATATTTGATTGGCATTGGAGGGACAGCTTTGCTGATATATACAAGCTATCAAACAATGTCATGTTAATTATTAGTATCAAGAATTATATCTTATTCAATAACTGATTCCACCCAACTTACTTCACCCATAGCTCGCCATAAATTCTCCATCACTCTAAGGTCATAAATTTTAATCTTGAAGTATTTTTTATGACCCCCATGATTGTTTGCCCCCTGCTCGCTTCACCTACCCTTTCGGAAAACAATGAAAAATATGAATAGATAAGAGCACACTCAATAATGGCGGGGAAGAAGATCGTTCAACCCTCTGGGGTGAAAAGGGTAGTAGGATGTAATGTCTTTGAAATTCCATCGCTTGACAATAAAAGCTGGAAAAGTACGTGTGTGTAAATAATGATCTCATAACATACCATGTAAATAAATGGAGAAATGAATGGTTGAGTCTCACATCGAAAGGCGTTAGTTGGAGCCTTTATCAATTTTCTATATAGCACGAACCTGCAGGAACTTGGGAGCGGGGGGGGGGCGCAGCTCCC